GCCTTTCTATGGGACCGCCCTGCTCTAAGGGGCGTTGGCAGGCACTAAGATCCGTTAGGTCTGTCCTGCCGAGCACGCTATACCCTGAGGTGTTCTGTCGCGGCCGGGTTCAACTCTTTTCATGCTTTCTAGGGCGCATTATCACTAGGCGAATAGCCACACATTGCGCAACGCAAAAAATACGTACTTTAAATTTTGACAAATAAATATTAAAATTATAATATATGTTATTTATATTTATATTATAACACCTTTCATATTTTACCCTAATATTACATGTTATTCAAAATACTACTGGATTAGGTGTCTAAGCCCATAACTATTATTGTATGTATTCGACCCAAGAGTAGCATGGTCCATTTGGGTTGCATATCATCAGGACAATTTGTTAGGATTGACTTTTAAGAGAAGGTTATTTATGGTTTATTAATATATTATAAGTTATAATATATCAATATGAAATCATATGTTTTAATTAGTATTGATCAAGAATTAATTTGGAATTAATTTAGTGATCAAAAGATACTAATTAAATCTATGGGGACTAATTATGATAATTAGTTATATTTATATGTGTTGGGCTTGTGATACATGTTGGACCAAGTTTATGTATGGATACATAAAGAGTTGGGCCACATGAACCATGGATTATAAAACCCATGGGTATGGATTTGGGTTATATCCATGACCCTAGAAATCCCACATATAAATAGATACTTCATTGCCCAAAATCACCACTTTTGTATCTTTTTGGAGTTCATGGTGGCTTTTGTGTGCATGGAATTCTATCTCAAGTTCATCCTTTGTCCATGGTGTGTTGTGATTCCATTTGAGGCTTCCACACAATTGGGGTTAAGCTCTTTAAGGCCAAATACACCAAGACTTCAAGCTCCATCAAAAAGTATGTTATGCTAACTAGTATATTATATTTTATGTTAAATGCATGCTTGTTGTAAGCTTAATACCTTGGAAACCATTTGCATGCATAATTAGTGAAAACATAGATCCAAGGTATTTAGGGTTGTATGTGCACCATAGAATGTTGTAGTATACCAAAACCCAATAGTGGTATCAGAGCCATGGGTTGTTTTCAATTATACTTCATGCAAATAGCTGGAAAAAAACCGATTTTTTGTTGTCTGGATAGCAGACTCGACAAGTTCAGTGATGGACTCGACGATTCCATGAACAAATTCATCCAACTCGTCAAGTTGGTTCATGCACTTGACGAGTTGAACCCCTTGACAGCATATATTCGTGTTTTTTGGCCTGTTTTGGATTACTATCGTTACCACAAAGTGTTTTTGCTCATAAAATTTATTTTGTGATACTATGGTAATGCTTATTCTCATCCAAATAAATGATAATAATCAAATTTTCAAGTTTTATACATGTTTATATGATGCTTGAAAAATGTTGATTATGAATATTCATGTTTATGAGTTTGTTTAGATTAATAGAAAAAATTATGAGATAGTTGTTTTCAATCCAAATTAATCTAGAAGTTGGTAATAATATGTGTTTTTGTAACTTGTCCTCAAGTTACTTGAAAAGTCACATTTATGAATTTTATAACTCATAAAACTTCCATAAGTTATGAAAAAATGAAAAGTCACATTTTTTAAATGCTTTTAAAGTCTTCATAACTTGTCTACAAGTTTTGGAACTTGAAGAGTTTTTCCATTTAAACCACTTTAATACTCATAAGTTACGGAATCCATAAGTTTTTGAATTGTTCAAAACTTGTCCTCAAGTTTTGGAATTTGTAAAGTCACCCCATATCCACTTTAATTCCAAACTCTAGAATTTTAAAAGTTAAAGTTCAAACTTTATGGACTTCATTAAATTAATTAAAGTATTTAATTAAAAGAATTAATAATTCCACAAAGATATGGTTTAAGTTTAATTAAATTAAGAGTATAGTTTAATTAATAAATTAAACCACCAAGTATTTTAAATGTTTAAAATACACCCTTATACTATTATAATATTAAAGTTAATGATTATATATAAAGTCAATCTTACCGTTAGTAGGCCTCATTCACGAAGTCGGTCTATAAGGGGAGTATAAGGTTACTGCCTATAAAATAACAGTTTAATGGGTGTCCACTCTCACCCACCGCTTCCTTGACTGGTGGAGGGTCGTTAGCCGAACGGGTAGGACAATGATTATAATTCTCCCTTCATTAAAAGTATAATGATAAATACTAAGTAACTAAACACTTATTAAATTCCCAATCTTAGTTACTTAGGAAAATGCGAATTTGGTGCTAACCCATGAAATTCACAATTTGTACCTTACCAAGTCGTTGGTGGAGCGTGTGTGGGTAACCGGCACACTAACTTGGACTAGTAAGGATAACAAAGGGTGACTTAATATTTATCATAGATCGGTGGAGCGCGTGTGGGTAACCGGCACATCAATTAGGTGATAATATTAAGGGTACCAAGTGAGTTTGTATGGTTATTGACACCTTGTTTTGTGATCCTTGGCATCCCAATCACAAAATTTGAGAGGGTACACTCGGGATTGAAACATGCCATTGAAAAGTTTAATGAATCTCAAAATATCTAGGAGTTTCAAATCCAATAAGAACTTAATAAATTATTTCGTTTTTCATGATGGAAATTGGTGAATCGTCATTCGCCTACCTTCAAATATCTTATAGCTTGGATTACGACATCCCTCTTCCAAGTTATAAAATATTGTATTGGGTCCTAGCCTTAATATTTCATATTGGGTTTTATATTAAGGACTTAAAAATCAACTAACTTGAATATCTCTCATTTTAGATGTTCTAGTTTATTCATCTATGATCTACCCAAATCTCTTGGAATTTCACTTCCTCCACCCCCT